TGGCTTGACAGCCCCTCTCTCTCTCTCTCTTTTAAAGATTTATTTTATTTATTTATGTCTCCAAGAACTGGGGTTTAGGCCAGAGGCGCGGGGGTGAGAGGATTCAGCAGAGACAGAGTGGGGAGTAGAACAGGCAGATCCACTGAAGTCCACTGCTGAGGGGAGCAGCAGGGAGACAGGAGAGGTCTGCTGTGCCGTGTGGGTCAGCTCCCTGGGAGGGATCCAACTTATGCTGTAGTGGCTGGTGATAGCTTGATAGTGCTGAGACTTAACCCCTGCACCACCAGGGAGGCCCAACAACTTACCTCTCTGGAGCACTGAGTAGCATTCCCTTTTCTGGTTGAACCACAGTGTACTTGCTTGTGTCTAAGTTTTGGCGATTATGAATAAGGCTACTATAAACAACTGTGGATATGCAATTTCCACTCATTTGGGTAAATACCAAGGAACATGATTGCTGGTTAGAGTGTATTTAGTTTTGTAAGAAACTGACAGACTCTCTTCCAAAGTGACCACCACTTTGCATTCTCATCAGCAACGATTAGTCTCTGACTCCGTGCCCTGGCCGCACTTGGTGGCATCAGCGTTCCAGATTCTGGCCATCCTAACAGGTGGGCAGTGGTCATCATTTGTTCTTGACTGTTTTGTTCATTAATGTATCAAACACCTACTTGGGGGGCTGCAACATAATAAACATACAATGAATATTTGTTGAGCAAAGGAATCTCTGCATTCATGGATTCAAGCAACCATGGATGTCGGCGGGTTGAATCTGCAGATACAGAACCATGGATAGGGAGAGTCAATAAGTTATAGGAGAACTTTCAACTCTCCAGGCACAGACGCCCTTAGCACCATATTATTCAAGGATCAGCTGTAATTTATGTCCTGCCTCTCTATTTAGATGCCACCAAAGAGAAAGTGAGAGAAGCTCGAGGGATAGAAAGCAGTGAAGAAAGGATTGGGTAATTAGTTACACAGGTTGGTCCTTTGGAGACTTTTCCTACACAGACAATTTTCTGGTGGCCACATGGCCTTGGCTGCATTTTTCACCCTACACACTCAGGCACGACTATGTTCTGCAGAGAATGTTCACAGCAACCAAGTAGCAGCCTCCAGATATCAGTTTGCAAAAGAGACCGAGACTGGCAGAGTATGTTTCTGGTTAGAATTCATGAAACAGTCTTAATTGCCTGTGGGGGGTATGTTGTCATTCACAGAACCAAGTTTCCTGGAAGTTGTGTAGTTATTTGGGACATAAAACAGTCTAGCACAAAGGCCTTCAAAGGGAAGTCGCTATTTCTTCTGTCTAGTATACCTTGTGGTTAGTTATTTTAAGCTGCTAAATGTACCTTTTAGAAAAACAAGACTGTACCTGGGGCTTTAGGGAGCCTGCCTTCCTTTAGGGGCCAGCACCTTGGAATGTTGTATGGTCTGTGATCTCAGTCCCTCCCCTCTGTGGGCCAAGAAGAAAATCTGAAGGTCAATAGACAGCGGGAGCCAGGATGCTACCCACATTCTCCCAACCCGGGCACACACCTCAGCTCCCCTCCCCTCCATGTCAGAACTCAGAACAAAGATGGTGAGGAGAGAAGAAACATCTTTTCCCAAAGAAGTTTTCTATTCTCCAAATTTTGCTAAAGATCACTGGAGCCAGCCTGGAGATGCCACTGGCATCTGAGATTGTCCCTTCTCCCTTTCTCCTCCTGTAGGGCTTCGTGCTTATCTTTTGCTTCTGTGGTGGAGGACATTTCTTACTGAGATTCCCTTTCTTTTTCTTTTTTTTAAAGATTTATTTATTTATGCATACAAGAGCTGGGGTACAGGCCAGAGGTGTGGTGGTGAGAGGATTCACCAGAGACAGAGTGGGGAACAGAACAGGCAGACTGACTGAAATACACTGGAGCAGATTAAGTTTCAGCAGGTGAGTCAGGAGAGGTCTGCTGCGCCATGTGGGTTGCTCCCTGGCTGGGGATCGAACTCGTGCTGCAGTGGCTGCGAACAGCTTCCAGGCTGTGGCTCCACCCCTTGTGCCACTAGCGAGGCCCCCGAGATTCACTTTCTTGCATTTCACTTTGGCTTATAATAAAATGCCAAGCCCAGCTTTCCCATTCCAACCCTGAATACACAAAGAGAAGAGTTTTATATTTAGGGAAAGAAATAATCTATTTCCTCCCCCAGTGAATCAAGTTTTCTCTATCCGTGTGTGCTTCGGCACTCAGAAACATTTGACTTAAAACACAGAGCAAAAGAAATGCCTTCTTGGCTCTTAATTGTATAGATTTACCCTTCCATTAAACTAGTGAATCAGAGGAGCAAGGTTTATTGAGAATGAGAAGGTATTAGCTTCATATCTCAAAAATATTATCTCTAGAATATGAATAACAGAAAATATGGGGGGAATTGATAAAATCTAGGTGGTTATATAAAGAACTATATCCATGTGAAAATTTGGAGCACACTGCTGTAAAATGTGGACAGTAAGATGAATTATCAAGGAGAAGTACCATAAGATAAATAAATTGAGGAGATAAAATCTGAAAAAGCAAACAAGAATTAGGAACAACTTGCAGAAGTCATAAAAGGAAATCAAAAACTATTATTTTAAAATGCCACCATAGGATGTGTTATTGCAATTTTTAAAGTCAGAAAGTATGTAAATTTGAGTTACAATTTTTACAAAGCCAGTTTCCCATAAAATTATTTTACCAGCTCTACAAGTTGCATAAGCTAGCATATAATAACATATAAATTAGTGAAAAGTATATGCTATCACTTTTACATCTATTATAGAGTACCTTACTAGTCAGTATTTTGGGGGTTTTAGATTATATCACAGGTCCTGTTATTTCTGGTATTCAAAGTCACTCCAGTTTCACAGATGAAGAATGAAAGCACAATTTGGGCAAGAAAGCTTTTTTTTCCAATCACAATGTAGTACTTTAGATATCATCCTGTTATTTCATAAAAGTGACTTATCCTTCTGGGAACTAAACAGAATCAGATGAACAGCCAGTCACCCGAATAGTCTAATTTATTACATTAAAACTTTATGCAGTCACCTAGAATTATTTCTATCATTCCCAGAGACATCCTAATATATTATAAATGATTACAATCAGTCTGGTGGCTTATACTTTCATAACGTAGAAGACAGATTACAAATACAAGATAGCTTTGTTTTCTGAATTTAACCTGCAATCAAGACAGTTAGTATGTGACACTTTGCAGTGCCTGCTGTTTTTTCTTCTTAAAATGCAACATAAATCTTTGACTTATATGCTTTGATTTAATTGCATATAGCAATATTCATTGCCTATTCAGAGTTCACTGGATCCTACTCTTTGATACAGTGATGATATGATTTCAAGATACATTGAGTTGGAAGGGAAAGATCAAAACTTTTTCTGTCATTTGGCAAAATGCCTGAACTATTCTGAGTGGGTTCCGTAAGTTCAAGTGGATTGAAAGTCAGTACATTTCTCACCCATTCAATGACTTTTAAAATAGATTCACATTTCTTTGAATTTTAATGTGCCAATAGTTGAAACTCAGTTTTGAATGTTTTCTGACATTATTTGGTAATTAAAGAATGAAACAAGGAGCTTCAGCTGACTTTCGCAAATGAGACTTCATGTGTCTTCAATAAAAGAGTAATTTACCCATCTTTGCTTTAGTAGCATTTGACCAGTAAGTGGGTGAAAGGAGGAGCAAGAATTTAAATGGCTAACAAAGTTATAAGTCCTCCTGGTAGGAAGAAAGGAAGACAGGACAGGAGGGAAGGGAGAAATAAATAACAACCTTAATAATGTGTAAGAATTGGAAGAAAGCCAGCTCTAATCATCCTGTAGCAAGCATTTAAAGGAAGATTTGTTAAGTAACAGATTCAGTGTTGAATTACATTTTTGGAGGGGATTCCCCTACTAGCTGGTCATCATTAGAGAACATTCGAAGGATCCAATGGAGTCATGGGATTAAGAAATGATGCAGAAATAAGTCAGAAAGAAAAAAAAAACAAAACACTAGATGATCTCACTCATAGCAGGAATTTAGAAAACCTAAATAAGGGGCCAACAAAATCAACAATCAACTATAAACCAGAGACACACTATGGGAGACAGGGGGAAGAGGAGGAATTATGATCAAAATAAGGGGGTGGGAATTGTACGGGGACTATAACCAAGATGAAAATGCATACATTGTGCAAAAATGAAAAATGATGTAAGAAATATATAATAGGAAAAAAAAGAAATGATGCAGAAAGGAATCTCCTTGATCGAAGTGCTTTTGGCTTGTTTTCCTCTGAGGAGGGGCCTCATATCAAAACAGAGGAAATGGAAACTTGAGGAAGGTGATGTTGCTGAGAAATCAGCTGACATTTCAGCTTTTCTTCCCCACCAGCAATGCGTGATAGGAACAAGTGTGAACAGTGGAAACCTTGCACTAATATCTCCTTAGCCTGTGCTCATGGGGAACAAGGAGATGTGCAGACCAAGAGCAAGGGCTCTGAGACACGGAGCATTTTATTTACTTCACATCATTCAAACACTGATTCGCAGTTTTGCTTCCTCAGTTACTGTTGGTGTTTTAAAAGAGGAACAGTGAGGATATAAAAGTCTATTGCTTAATGATAACATGTAGTGATTGGAAGTCAAGTTGAAAAGCAAAATGTATTTAAATGTGGTTAGCATTTGTGTGTGCAATCTACTGAAAACTAAACTGAAATTTTACTTGTAATTGCAATGCCTCTTAGAAAGGAAAATGTGCCTTTCAAAGACAGCACATTCTATGTGACATGGCACTTACTAGAGAAATGGCTGAATTTTAACCACTTTGGGGTATTTAAATATCCCATATTTCAATTCCCTACCAGTGAGCCAAGAAGGGTAATATTTCCACCTCTCAGAATCTTGGAAACATTGTAAGGGTACATATTTTTTTTCTGATACAACTTAATACAAAATGTTCTGAGAAAGCAGTTTTTTAATTTGAAAACTATTAAGTAGTTATGGTTTGATTTTTTTCATTGCGGTTATGCTCCAAATGCATTTAAATTCTTGAATCCAGTGGGAATACCTAGGCTACTTTCATTCCCTTTGGGGGGTCTCAAGTTCCCCCCTTCATTGCTGTGTTTTTCCTGTTTGCTCAGCCAAGCGAGTGTTCTGTCCCTGTCCCTGAGCTACCCTCTCTTGAAGGGGATGCTGCCTGCAAAGTTTTTGAACCTATATGTGGGACTAGGATGGATACGTGAACAGTTCCTTAGCTTTGCTTTAATTTTCCTTTTATTTTCATCGACAGTCAAATTTTTTGGAGAGTACAATCAAGATAGCATATTCATAGAAATAACATTAATAGAAGCTTGGTCATAAATGAGAACAGTCGTTATAACAATCATCCTCACCAAGGCAATTCCACACAGAGAGAGAACAGCACAATAAATAAAGCATTTGTGGTTTGTCACGCAACAAATAAAACAATTGGAATAACAAAAATGGAATTATATCAATGTTCTTATACTAAATATAAAAGCAAAAATATGAGCTCATGCACTACACAAAAGCTAATAGTAAATAGTTAGAACAAATAATATTGCCAAAGAGAAAATGTTCAAGTATGGTGAGAGGGGCAGATTCAAATAGAATTCAGAATAATTCAATTGTATGTACTGCCGGGGAGGGGTCATGCAGAGAATGCTGGACCCTTGAAATGAGTGTTATTCGTTTAAGGGGCAGATTCCATTTTCCTTGATTTAGAATAGGCAGTGATACTTTGGGAGAAATTTCCCAAGAACAGGCCACTGTGACTATTCTTGAGCTGTAGGGGCCGGGGAGCGGAGGAGGAGCCACTGTAGTCCTGTTCTCATAATTGCATAAGACACGTCCCAGACATGAAAGAAAATTTCACCTTCTGTTTCAAGTTTGCTGTGAGAGTTGAACTATCAGAACAAGCAGAGAGCAGTAATAATAATAATAATAATAATAATAATAATAATAAATGAGTGTAGCATTTTTACTGATACTTATTTTTTTTAAATATTGAAAAAACAAGTTGGGTCACTTCATGGAACTAGGAATTGTATAATGCTTTAGTGGGGTTGTCCCTAGAGAAAAACAACTTCTTGCCCCATATAACTCATGGAAGCAATGCTGGGCTTAGCTTTGTGGTTGAACGGCTGATCGGATCGGCAGGATGGCTAGTTTCTACATGATTAGGAAAACATGTTTGTCATGGGAGTAAAAAAATAAAATCTGTCTGTTAAATTACACATAAATATAAGGTACAAATGTATTTTTAAAATACAGATTAAAATAATCACACTTGCATTGTGTACATACGAAAATACAGTATTTAATATTCAATATACACAGACACATTTATGATAAATGCAACGATTTGGCAAGGCCAGCTCCCCGGCCCGCGCCCCCTTGACTGGGAGTTGGGGGGGCGGCACCCTGAGGAGGGCAGCTCAGCTCTGGCGCACGTCCTGCAGAAGCTTGTTGATCTCGGCCACCAGCTCGCTGGCGTCCATAAGCTCGTGCTTCCCGTCGCTCAGGTGGTTGAGCACATTGTCAAAATCATCCTCTTCGTAGTTTTCGGGGATTTCCTCCATGGCGGGCAGCCACTTGGCGGATGGCTGCACGCTGGAGTGCGCCCCCAGCGCTGGCCCCGAGCTGGTGGCTGGGTTCTGGAAGTGCGTGCTGGCGGCCCAGGCCGCCACCCCCGGGGGGTAGCCCGCCGTCTTGGGGGGCGCTGGGCCCTTGCGGTGCTCCAGCGAGTTGGTGCGCTCGCCGTCGGGGCACTCGGTGCAGGCGTCCAGCGTGGGGGGCAGCAGGCGCTGGAACACGCTGCTCATCTCCGAGAGCAGGGAGGAGGCGCTGCTGTCCCCCGCGTCCTCGTCGCTGGGGGCGTCCTTCCCGAAGGTGGAGAAACTCTTCTTCTTCTGGCTGGGATCCGCGGGCGGGGGGTCGTCCTCCAGGCCGGGGTGCGCAGGCTGCTGCGGGGGCTGGGCTGGGAACTCCTCACCAGGGATGAACAGGTTGCTCCGGTAGTCCGCGGAGGGCGAGGGCAGTGGTGGCATCCAGCACTGGTCTGAGTGCCCCAGCACGCGGCACTCCTCGGTGCACAGCCGCATGGCTGCAGGAGCAAGGGCAGGGTTACCTGGGGCAGCGTTACAACCCCCACTTGGCAGGGTTACACCGGGCAGCAATATACTGGGCAGGCAACCGGCCGGCACAGGGCTTTCTTTTTATTAAACAACCACATGCACATAAAACCAACCAGGGACAAAGCCTGGAAATCTGACTGTAGGGCTGAGGACACCAGAGGGGGCTGGAAAGAGCAAGGGGAGGGGGTGCAATGGACTAGGCAGAGGACTGTGGGCATCGTGGTGGTGGATGTGGTGTGGTAGCAACACCTCAAGGGGGATCCCCCACCTCTAACTTTTGCCGGATGTTGTAAACTGGTGTTACCTACGGGAGAACCATTTGGGAACCATGAAGCTAACCCGTTCTTTACAAGGATGGCAGCCAACCAGTGGTTCTCTGGACCCCCATAAATCCCCGGCTTATTAAATAAGAAAGGGAGGTTACTATGCATATTCTCAGGACTGTCCTTTGTGCTACTCAAGGAAGGAGAACACGCATGGAGAACTTTCACTGAGTGTGACTGGGAAAGAGCATGGTGTTGGCGATTTGCTAAACATGTATTCTTATAAACAAAAAACACAGCTGTTAGGAGACATCCTTAACTCTAAAATGCCACCAGCAAATCCTTGAGTAATGACTTGGAGTGACTGGACAGTGTGGCCCTACTTTTCTTATAATGGAGCCTCTGACTACACTCAGCTATGAGATCATTGTGCTTATTCATTTCTCTTGAAGGTATTCTGGATTACTTATTGATTGGTTACTTAAAATATCAGTGCAAAGTAGCCTCGATTCTGGGCATCTGTGGTTACCCTGTTGAAAAGTCTTTTCAATGTTTGGAATTCAAATAGATGGAAAAGTCATCAAGAGATGAAGAATATGAAAATTCCACTGCTAGGTCTTCCAGATGTGATGAAGGTCTGAGGAATGTGAATGGTCACACTCACCTCAAACAATAGGAGATATGAGAAAAGCAGAAAAATAGAGAGGGATGAATCTCTAAACACAACCAAACTACCTAACAATGAGAAATATAAAATACACTGCACAAATCATTTTTCAGTGAGAAGCTGGTCTCCTTATGGAGCCAATGGCACAAAGTAGAAAAAACAAAGAAGTTATCACCAATTTGAGCCAAAACTGGATTGATATCAGTCATAGCAATTCTTACATATTCAGAGCTAATTCTATAGATCTGGACACTGAAGAAAGATTTCTCTTCCTTCCAAATCATTGCTAAAACTGACTCTTAAATAATCCAAACAAGCCAAATCCCTTGTCAGAAGCAAGCTGGCCATGGTGGTTTCTGTTGTGTCTCCAGGACCAGATACAGCATCTGCACAGAACAGGCAACCACTGAGCTCGTCCTAGTCACCCAGGGGATGAAATTCACAAGCACCATGAGATATCACCCCAGGCCTGTCAGGAGGGCTGTTCTAAAACACAAGTAACAAGTGTTGAGAAGGACTTGGACTAACTGGACCCCTGTGCACTGTGGCTGGGAAAGCAAAATGGTGCAGCCGCCATGGAGAATTATGGAGGTTCCTCAAAAGATTAAAAACAGACATCATATTATCCAATTCTGGGTATTTACCTAAAATCAGGATCTTGAAGAGAGCTTAGCACTCCCCTGCTCTCTACAGCACTGTTCACACCGGCCGAGAAATGGAAACAACCCAAATGTCTAAAGGATAAGTGGATGAAGTTACGATGGTTTGTGTACACCGTGGATGATCACTCAACCTCAAGAAGGAGAAAATTGTGCATGTTATGATGAGCATGGATGAGACTTGAGGGCAACGCACGTAGCGACATACGCTTGCCACAGAAGGACAACTACCCTTGTGTCCACACACAGGAGGCAGCTGAACTGGCCAAATGTGGACTGAAGCCCAGAGTGGACTCAAACAGGGATGATGGAGGAGGGGGCTGGGGGGCTACTCAGCAGTGATCACAAAGTTTCAGGTAAGCGAAATGAGTAAGTCCTAGAGACCCGGTCTACGATGTTGTGAGGTTAACCACACGGTATTGTAGAGTTAAACAGGGGAGTCTGGGGGGAGGTGTGAGAAGCGAGAAGGAGGGTACATCTCATGTTAAGGGGTCTTATACATATAATAAAATATTTTTACATCTTTTGTTCAAAATAAAAGTGAAGGATAAACGCTGCCTTTCCCCGGGTTCAAGAGGGCAGTCACTGCTCTGCCTCCTTGAACCTTCAAGATAATTCTGTTCTTCAGCGATTCTGAACCTCAGTTCTTCATAGAGAAGGGGCTAATTGGAGCAACAAAAGTGAAAGCAAGGTGTGTACGAGAAAAACACAAGGGTTTTCTGGGAAGGCGAGGCACACAGAGGGAGTAGGGAAAACAGGAGATAAATGTGAATATTGATTCCACAGGAACTACTGGGGGAAGAGGGAGAAGGTGAATAGAGAATCATTTTATAATTTTACTAGGAAGAAAGGTTAAATTTAAATAAGCACAGTGGATTTAAGAAACCAATTACTGTACAAAAATGAACAACAACGTAAGAAAATATATTTTTTTAAAAAGAGGATGTTTAAAAGTGACTTCATGGATTATTACTATTTGGAAAATGTAGCAACTCTTGTGCATCCTTCAGTGTGGACAAAACTAAAAGGAGTTGAAAGTAATTGAAAGGCTTAATAGCAATGAGGTTTTCTCATCAGCGAAACCACTATCGAAGTGGCAATTAATTTTTTTCTCTAATTCCCTGGGTCTCTGGCTGCAGAACAGCCCTGTCTCTATCGTCTCTCTGACATCCTGTGAGAAGGAAGAAGAACAGACCTCAAGAGGCTTCTTCATTTGTTTACTGGCCTTTAACACTGCGGGAAGAATGTGACGGATGGTCTTTGTCTTGTTTTAATGCTTAATGACGGGTCGGGGAGGAAGGAGAAATGGCATAGGCTTCGAAGAATCCAGGGCGTGAGCAACTCTTGAGAGAACTGAAGATACTGAAAGTAACCACCAAGACAATCTGGGAAATTAAAGTGATGGTACATGTTAAAAACTGGTTTGGTCATGGGATGATTTTTAAACAGGGAACACTGTATTCTGTCTCCCCAACAAGTAAACTGAACTTTAATTACAGGATAACAAAGGAAAAGAGTAAAATTTCAGAAAATATGAAAAATGGATGAAGAAAGGTGAATGGAGAGAAGGAGGCTGAAAACAACGGAGATGCAAGAGCAATCACGCACAAGACCTTTCTCAAGTTCATTGACAAGTTCAGCCTTTTCCCTGGAGACGCAGCCATTGAGAACATTCTCAGTGTGGCGCGACAGAGCGGAGCTGCAGATGTTGTGTGCCGCGGCCAAGGGACTCTGGCAAGTGGGGCAAGTTACTCATCTTTCTGTCTCTCCTGGAAAGCTCTGGCAGGTGGTTCAATTTCCTTTAGGGAAGCAGACAAGCCATTTTTGCCATTTGTGACTGACAGTTTTGTCTCTGCACCATACACACCGCAGAGGGAGGTAGGAAGCAAGCGCCGAGGACAGGAGGAGAAACAGCCAGCCAACGGCTTCAATCCCTTGGCCATGGGGTGCTCCATCAGTCATTGTGCAGAACCTGCCGTGTCGGGAATGAGGGGGTAGTTCCCTGCCCTCAAGTGGTTTCAGATCTGAGTCAAGTGTAGCCAAGGAGACCCCGCCCTAAGTGTCCGACCACGCAGCGTGCACGAGAAGGAGAGAAGAGAGAGTGAAGGTGGACTGAAAGCCAAGGCAGCTTGAAATAAACTTTCAACGAGGATGAGGATTTCCCTAGACATCATGGAGAGAAGCCAGACTCTCAGGTCAGAAAACAAAGGAGCAAAAGTTTGGAGTGTTGTGTGAACAGCTGGCTCTGCCTTTTGTAGAAGATACAAAAGAGCCGCCATGGAGCGTTCAGAAGCTAAGAGTGGGCTTCATTGGCCTCGGAATGCAAGATAAATAGTTTAATGGTGTGTTGCTGGGCAACAAAGTCAACTATTGCTTTTGAACCAAAAACTGTAAATTAAAATATTCAGGAGAGGTTGTTTGAGTGAAGGAGAGGTAGACTTGACAAAGAGCAGGGCCACTGGCGATGGAAGACAGCCGTGGAACAAAGGCCGGGACCAGACACTAGCCACCAGGAAGCGTGGAAATAAAAAGCGTCTGAATTCAGTGACTGCAGGTAAGAGACAGATGGAAAGTGAAAATAAATGAATCAAGGAGAATCACAAGCACCTAGGAGCAGTGAACGCTCGGGGAAGATGGAGAATTTGCAGCCACTGGGGAGGATTGTGCTTCAAAGTTGAATGAATAAGGAAGAAAGTATGTTGACAAATATGAGCCAAAGGACAAAAATGCCTGCTGACTTTACCGCTCAAAATGCAGGATATTTCTGTGGGAATGAATAGAATGAATGACCACAAGTGACCCTGTTGGCAGGCGGCGCCATGTAACATAATCTATATTTGATTGCAGTCTAATACAGGAAAACAGTTGGAATAAGACACCGAAGTCCTAAAAATACGCATGCGGTAGAAAACTGTGCTGGTTTCTGTTAGTGGCATTCAGATGCGGACTGACTTTTTTTTTTTTTTTTACTACATGGGATACTCCTTGGAAATAGGATTTTCAAAGCACAAGTTTTAAGCAGCTGCCAGGGTGAAAAATAAACCAGAATATGGTGAGGTCTCACAGAACGATGGTCATGATTTAAGGATGCTTACCTCTCTGTACTAGCCAAACACAAAGCTCAAAATAGTTTGTGGATCACTGGTGATTTTCTGTGTCCTGTCTCTATAGCAGTTGCCACCACACCCCACATGGAGCTCGGGAGTTAGTAGGACAGAGACGTATCTGTTGTGACATAAATCCATGCACCAGCAGAACGCACACCACACACCCCAGTAAGGTGTGATTGTGTAAATATGAGTTGTATTTTCCAAGGATATATTATCTATGAAGAGCTGTTATTAATGATAACATAAAGGGAGCCTTTAAATTTGAGAAGAGAGTGACTTGGACAAAGTCTAAAGTCACTCAGTAAATAAGACTGTTTAGAGTTTTATCTTTATCATTTCCCCAGTGTCGTTATTCTTTAATATTCATCATCATCATCATCATCATCATCATCATTATTATTATTTTAATTCAAGCACTAGTAACTGTCATATGAACATGGCTAATGGTGGGAATTTTGAAAGCTAAATAAAGAAGAGGCTTGAAACCCTCTTTTAAAAAAAGAAGCCATATTAGCCATTAGACTTATACAAGTTCAGAAATTATAAAGAACTTGAGGCACCATCTAGCCCCACAAAGGCCAAGGCACTCTAAGTAGGGGTGGGAATTCTCCCTTCAGCTATGCTGATGAATCAAAATTTCAGTGAGACTTCACATCATTTTAAAAATCACATATAATATTGGTATGTTCATTATGTTACTTTTCAGTTTCATGAAAGAATATAATTTGAAAAAGCACATTATGCAAAATGTGGGATCAATATTCAAAAGTAGAGCACTTTCAGGATCACAGGCTCAGAGAGACTCAGCCTGTGCTTTTATTTGATGGCTAAAATAAAACATTCTCTTTGAGCAAGGTGTCTGGCACCATCCATATCCCCTGGCTCTTCAGAGAGACGTGTCTTTAAATTGGTCTAGTGAGCTTGTGAATTAAGAAAGCAACAATGAAGAGACCATGGAGGTCTCTGCAAAGACCAACTCTCAAGGGTTTGCGCCATTAAGGCCCTGAAGCCCTTCCCCTACGTGGCCCTGCCGGAATGCAGTGACCACTACTGCACTGGCAGAGCTCAGTACGCAGCCTGAGCCGTGTGGTGGGTGTGGGACTCAAGATATAAGAGCACATGTCACCCAACTTATTTACATATCTACATAAAAACCTGTTACTGCAGACTGCTCTTGTTGGATCTACAAGGATGGGCATTGGCTCAAATCTCACCTCTACCATCCATAAATTGCTTGAGTTTAGACACTTTAACTTTATAAGCTTCAGTGTTAAGCCTAAAAATAAATGAGCACTGTGATCACTCTGGATGTGGCAGATCATTCTGGATGTGGCAGAGTTCTTTTGATCATTTCAGAAGTCTTTACTGCCAGTTCTTCTGAGCTTTCTACTACTCCACTTCCTATGCCCAAGTGTCAGGCAAATGAATGAATGGACAGAGACACTCCCGGACCAGAGCAAAGGCTGGCACGTCCCTGGGAACTGGCCCTGCTCACCGGGTGGAGGCCACGGCTCCTCCCCTGCCAGGACTTACAGACTTGAGTCAGTCCTTGAAATTTTTGATTTATCAGCGTAGCTGAAGGGAGAACACCCACCCCTACTTAAGAGTGCATTGGCCTTTGTGGGGCTAGAGGGTGTCTCATGTCCTGTCTTCTGATGTCGCCTAATTTCTGTGACTCTGAAACTCAGTCATGTCTATTTCTCAAGCCCACTTACTTATCTGTATTTGGAAATCAGAAGTTCCAGGGAACGCAGACAGGTAGCTAGTTTGGTCCTGCCTCTCTCATTGATCAAGTGCCAATCACTTGATCAACATTCAGTGGAACTTAGAAATACAAGTAGCTGAAGAAACTTTTATGTGCCCCAAAGCTTGATTTACTCTTGCCTTCTTTTGTAACCAGGATGCTCGGGTGAAGCTGTCAGGATTTACCCAGTTGCTTTAGAGAGTTTCAGTTGCACAAGCAGAGAGCAGGGAGTGGAAGGAAAATGTGGTGCATATTTAATAGGATCTCCCCCACTAAGCTGTGACCTTATAAATTCTCCTCTTGGGCTCCTGGGCCTGTTCCACAACCATGCAGACAGAAAATGAGAGGTGACAAAAAATCCGCTGTGTTTACCACCTACCAAGTGCACTTTTCTCCTGTTTTTAGTAAGTAAAGCGTACCATTCCGAGTGTATTTTAATCTCTGATTCTGAGTTGGTTTCCATCACAGGAAATGTGTCCTTCAAATTACAGCCCAGTTCACCACGATGCACCAAACAGTCCTTCTGAATAAAAACAACTACCCAGTAATTTTATAAAGAGTTGTTCAAGAGTGTCCCCAAGCAGGGCTGGGTGGGAAGCAGCAGAGAAAGGAGGGAAGCAGAGGGCTTTTCTGTTCCCTTCCCTGGCTTGCTGTTTCTTCCCTGTCCTGCCAAGCTCCCTTCTGATTCTCCTTCCCTATCATTTGCTTCATATCAATTTTAAGGAAATCATTTTAAATTGTTTCAGTTTATGCTCGCCGGAGGGGCTTGCAGACTACAGATGCTTTAGTGCAAGGACAGAGAAGCAACACAAGGAGGGAAGAAATTGTTCACTTGCCCGGTGCAGGAGATCTGAAAATTAGGCTTTCTCTCTCACGACCCTCTTACCTGCTGGGATTCTTCCATCTGTGAGAAACAGGTCGCTGAATCCTTCGCCCAGCAGTCTGTCTATGGGAGAATCTCGCCCCAAATCATAATCACTGTCTCCCGCCTCGCTGTCCCCGCGGCCACTGTCTTTCAAGCTAAATTTGTCCATGTCTTGGAGGGCGTATCTGGAGAGAGAAATCAGGGAAAGTACAGGTTTCACTCTTCAGCATTCATGTCATTTGAGACTTAATGGGAAACATTAGGATCATTCATACCTATAGCTCCTGGAGTATTTGTTGCCTCGAAAACTTGGCCTCGGTTGGTACTGGCCCTGGTGGAGCATTGAGAGAAGCTGGGAGACCTGCTGGAAACCAAGCGGACAGGGCTGATTCCTGGAAACAAACCTGGAAGCACACAGCTCTAGGCAAGGGCTGGGAGTTGCTGCTTCCACCCAAATCATGAACACATCCTCTCCCTTCCAGACACGAGCACAGGGCTGCGGCAGGCCGGGCACCCCCCCCCCCACCAGACAGAAGTGCACAGCAGAGACACTGCAGGACCACAGACAACTGGCATTTGCTGTTTGAAAGAGGATCCCTTTATAAGCAAATGATTGATTTTCTGTGTTTGCTAGTTTAGAGACGTGATCAGGAAGAAAACTACATGGCAGAGGCTGAAAAGCATGCCAGTCGAACGCTCGTAGTTGAAGTACTCTCAGGACATTTTCAAAAGCTGGCCAGTGTGACCTGCGTGGAAGAGGGTGCCAGGGGTGCCAGGTTTTGACTTTTTAGTAGAGACCACAGCCATGAGCATAAAGCCAGCCCCTTTTTCTTGGCTTCCAGTTCCTTAATCTGGGAAGTAAAGGGAGTCTAATGAGCCCTGTAAGAGCACCCCATTTATTTCCCATAGTGCATGCAAGTAAATTCTTTAAGAAAAACTGAAAAGAGGCTGCCAGAGGCCTTGTATCTCAGGCAGGGACCTGAAGCAACCTGTGCCCTACTTAATTTGCACAACAGCACTGTTATTTATGGAAAAGCTTAACGCTCACACAGCCTCGAGGACGAACAGCTGGCTGTGCAGTGCACAGCGGCCTTACCTCAACGGCGGGAGTGGCGTGGGTGAGTTCCAATGAGAAGTTCTCTGGCACGTGGTTCGAAGAGATTGTCACCAAGCTGTTGAGCGACTGGTGGCTGTTGTGGCTCTGCCGGCTCCCCATCTGCCCCCGTTCCAAGGTGGGAGATGAAGACGGAGAGGACCTGTGGTGAGACCTGATGGGCAGGGTGCCATTCACAGTGGGCACCAGCGTGATGTCCCCTTTGTGAATCTGCCTGGACGGTCTCTTCGGGTGGTGCTGGTAAGTCGATTCTGCGACCCTGCAGTTATAGGACCTGGTGTCCTTCTTCTCTCGGTTACACCTCGTGGCGAACAGCACCATGATAACCAGCAGGACCGTGCAGATGGCGCCTAAGGAGATGATTATAATCATGGAGACGTCCAAGGGCGCCTGGCTCACGGAGGTCATGGCCGTGCTGGTCACCGACTCCGCGTAGTCAAGGATGGTGCACTTCAGGAGGACTCTGGTGTGCAGCGGAGGCGTGCCCTTGTCTTGGATGATGACCGAGAGCTCCCAGTCCGTGTAGGGAAGGGCCTCCACGCTCACATTGGTGTGGATGTCACACGTTCGAGGGTCGATGACGAAGATGTTGTCCTCATTCCCTCCCGCGATGGAGCAGCTGAGCTCAGCGTTCAGGCCGGAGTCCCTGTCAATCGCCCTTATTCTTGTGACGTGAAAGCCACTTTCGGCCGCTTTGGGGATGGAGACCTCTGCGGTGTTGTTGCGCAGAGCCGGCCCGATGACCACAGGCACGTTGTCGTTTTCGTCAATGACGGTGAGCACGACGGTGGCATTGCTGACCAGTTGCTTGGGGGTCCCTCCATCTCTCGCTTCCACCACAAACGTGATCTGGCTCACTTCTTCGTGATCGAAGATGCGGAGGGCGTAGATGGCCCCGTTGGAGGGGTCGATGGTCACGTATGTGGTGATGGAGCTGCCCAGGATGAAACTCTCCAAGATCGTGTAGGTGACTTGCCCGTTCTCTCCAAGGTCAGGGTCGGTGGCTGTCACGGTGGTGATGTAAGCGCCGGGGGAGTTGTTCTCCGAGATGGCAAACTCGTATCGACTTCTCTGGAAGTGGGGCACGTTGTCGTTGATGTCATTGATCTGGACGGTAAAGTGTTTGACGGTGGAGAGACTGGGGCTTCCCTTGTCCTCGGCGATGACAGTCAAACTGTACTCGGATCTCTTTTCTCTATCCAGGGTGGCGTTTGTCAAGATTAAATAATTGTTCTCGTACGTCTTCTGAAGTTTAAAGTGGCCGTGTCCGTGGAGCTTACACACCACTTCCCCATTCGGCCCAGAGTCCCTGTCCTGAACCCTGACCAGAGCCACAAACGTGTCCACGGGATCCCCTTCAAAAACATACGAGATTTCTTCCTTGCCGGGGGACATGAAGTTGATGTTGATTTCGGGTTTGTTGTCATTCACGTCCACCACCTTGATGATGATCTTGCAGTGCGCTGGGATGGAGTTCGGACCCAGATCCTGCGCCTGCACATCAATCTCGTAGGACTTGGTGAGCTCATAATCCACCTGCTTGAAAAGCGTCAAATGTCCCCTTTCTGGGTCGATGTTAAAGGTCTCCATAATTCTGGGGGACACGTGGCTGCTGAAGGAGTAGACGATCTTCCCGTTGGCGCCCTCGTCCGGGTCGGTGGCGTTGAGGTCCAGCAGCAGCGTGCCCACCGGGGCGTCCTCCGGGAGCTGGATGATGTAGGACGGGCGCTCAAACGCCGGGCTGTTGTCGTTGGAGTCGGAAATGCTGATCTTCAGGAGCGAGGAGCCGGACCTCTGCGGCACCCCCATGTCGGAGGCGGTGAGCTGGAGCTCGTAGCTGGCCTCCCGCTCGCGGTCCAGCTCCCGGACCACGATGAGCTCCGCGTACTTGGCGCCGTCGGTCCTGGTGCGCACCTCGATGTCAAAGAAGTCGTTGGCGGCGAGCGCGTAGGTGTGCAGGGCGTTGTCCCCCACGTCCGGGTCGAAGGCGCTGTCCAGGGGGATGCGCGTCCCCACCGCGGCGCTCTCGGAGATGTCGATGGGGATGAGCGCGCGGGCGAACTGCGGGGCGTTGTCGTTGATGTCCAGCACCTCCACCTCGACGTGGAAGAGCTGCAGGTGCTCGGTGGGCAGCGTGATGACATCGAACTCGATGGAGCAGTTCAGGTTCTTCTGGCACAGCTGCTCGCGGTCGATCTTGGCCCCGATGCGGATCTCGCCCGTGTCCTCGCTGACCGCCAGCAGCGGCGCGCTCCCCCGCTGCATGGCTCGGAAGCGCACGGGCAGGTGGGGCGGCTTCACCAGCGCGTCCGCCACGTCCTCGGCGAGCCGGGCGATGACCGAGCCCACGCGCTGCTCCTCGTAGATCCTGTACTTGAGGTTCCGGCCGCGCGCCCCGGGGTGCGCCGCGAGCAGCAGCAGCAGCGCCAGGGCGAGCGCCGGGGGCATGTTCGCGCGCATCGGCCCCGCGGCCCCCGCCGAGCCCGCCGCCCCGCGCGCCTCAGGCCCGCCGCGCCCCGCGCGCCATCCGCGGCCGCCCGCGCTGTCCGCGCCGCCCCCGGCGCCCCGGCTCCGGCTCCGGCTCGCGCGCCCCGGCTCTCGGCCTCACCCGCGCGGCTGCCCCCGGCCGAGGCGCGGCCCCACGGGCGGGCGCGGGGCGCGGGGTGCGGCGGCTCCGCCCGCGGGTGTCTCGCTGCCGGCGCCGCGACCCGGTCTGAGCCGCTCAACTTCTCCCCAACTCAGACAAAGCTGCGGCCCCGCCGAGGGGCGGCCGCTCGCGGCCAATCAGCGCGCGCCCCAGCCCGGCTGGCGGAGTCCCCGCGGCCGGGGGGCGCGGGGCGCGGGGCCGGCCCCCGAGCCGGGAGGCGGGGCGCGCGCGGCGGGGCGCGGGCGGGGGTGGGACGGCCCCGGGTCCCTGCTCCCCGCGGCCCCGGCCTCCCCGGGCCCCCCCAGCCTCCAGTCCTCCGCCAGGACGCTCTCTCCCCCCCCCCCGGCCCCTGACGGCCCCCCCAGCACCCTCGGATCCCCTCTTCCCAGGCCCCCTCCAGCTAGCTCCTTCCTCTGGCCCCTCCCTCCTCCAGCCCCCGGTCAGCCCCGGCCCCTTCCTCTCCTGGACCCTCCCTGCCCTGGCACCCCCGTCCAGCCCCCTGCTCCCTCCCAGCCCCTCGCAGCCCCCCTCCAGCCCCCATCCAGCCCCAGCCCCCTGCGCCCTCGCAGCCCCCAGCCCCCTCCAGCCCCCTCCAGCCCCCAACCAGCCCCAGCCCCCTGCGCCCTTGCATCCCCCATCCAGCCCCCAGTCCCCTCCCAGCCCCCAGCCCCTTCCCAGCCCCCTCCCAGTCACCTCGCAGCCCCCATCCAGCCCCAGCCCCCTGCGCCCTCGCAGTCCCCATCCAGCCCCAGCCCCCTGCGCCCTCCCAGCCCCCATCCAGCCCCCAGACCCCTCCCAGCCCCCAGCCCCCTCCAGCCCCCAGCCCCCTCGCAGCCCCCATCCAGCCCCCATCCAGCCCCAGCCCCCTGCGCCCTTGCAGCCCCCATCCAGCCCCCAGACCCCTCCCAGCCCCCAGACCCTTCCCAGCCCCTCCCAGCCCCCTCGCAGCCCCCTTCCAGCCCCCATCCAGCCCCCTGCGCCCCCCCAGCCCCCTCCTCCCGGCCCCCGCCTCGCGCCCCCCGAGCGTGCCACGACAAAGGGGAGACAAATTACAGAAGCAAAACTTTAAATCAACTTCTGCTCGCCCCTCTTTCTATGGCATTTCGGATTGCGCTGGTTTTCTCTAATTGCCCTTTCTTCCTCCACAAACATGTAATCATCTCGCTTTCCGCGGGCTCTAAGTGTTGGTTTAACTTCCCCTGCCTCTCCGAGCCTTCTGTTGGCGCAGGGATTTAATAAAATTGGAAAACTTGCTTCTAATGAGGCGGCCCAGAGCGCCTCCCTCCCCCCGCACCCCGCCGTCCCCGCCCCGGCGAGGCTTGGGGGTTCCCCTCCCGGCCCGGCGCGCTTTCTGGGGGGCTCCGGTTTGGAAGCACGGAACCAGGGAAGGGGTTGCACTTTCTGGTTTTCTTTCATCTTTACCCTTTGAAGAGAAGGGAGAGGCTATTTTCCATTCTTGAATTCTCGTAATTAGCCGGGGCTCGGGAACACCTTCGGGTCTGAAACTCGCGAATACAGTTCCACGTTCCATCCCTTCTCTCCGCGAATTTGGGCAAAACTGGGTAGGGCGCTTCTTTGTCCTGGACTTTAAAAAATCCTGTTTATTTTGGGGGGAGGCAGTGCATGCTCTAGCATGCCAGTTTCTATCAAAAGGTGCTGCCCGGTGCCCAAGACACCCCACCACGAATGCTGGGGGACCGTGCACTACATCGTTTACAAGTCAAATTTGTATAATGGATGTATAATTTATGAAAACTCTTTTCAGACATGTATTTTTAAAAACCCAGAGCTTGTTTACATTGAAGAATAAAATGCCTGAGCTGAAAATGTCATTTTGTGTGGATCAAAATGCTGGGAAATACCATGGGCGGCGGGAGCTCTACCCAGGTCACAGAGACTGATCTGGTATTCTTATTTGAAAATATGATTATTTATGATGTTCTTTCTGCTCTGCAATTCCTTTTAAGTTTATGGTCGCGCCTCTGTTCTGCTAGCTTTTTTTCCTACCTCTTGCATTATTCTTCAGCTGCCTTCCTCCACTTGCATATTTGCTGTTTCACATAATCTCACTGTCACTTTTTCCCATTTATTTTCTCCGACTCCGTTTTGCCCCCCAGAAACATATAAAAAAGGTAATTTTCTGATTTTTCCACTTTGCTTACTCTCAGCAGAGCTCAGCTAAAGTCAGTCAGAAGGTTCTTTCCAAAAAAGAAAGCAGAGGTGTCTCAGCATGAACGCCCCTTCTTTTTAGGCATTCAAAAGGATTTTATAAGCCATTGTCTTCTCCCACCCCCCCCTCCAGAAACCAGTGCTGTGTGGCAAATTGTGCAGAATAGAAATGCCTATAATGAATGTATTTACAGCTGGGTCACGCTGATGAACATTCTGCCCCCATGAATAATACTGTTTCACAAGTTTGCAGCCCTTTCACACTGTGGCTCCCCAAACCCTATAGGCAAAGGAGGAATACTTGCAAGAGGAAGTGGAACTTTAGAAACCCATAGTCATCTGGCCTAGATCTCTTAACAATCTGAGTCAATAATTATATCAGTTCAGGCTTTGGTGAACCCCTTTGCAAACACCAAAAGAGCAAAGAAAGGAATTAGTGAGTATTCAAAGTTGGGGTGAAAATTCAAGGGTAATGTAATTTATAACTTCTAGGAGAGGTTTCTTGGTGGATTTGACAAGCCATCCCCTAAAAAACTCCCAGAGCAATGGACTTGCTTACCTCAGTGGAGAGGATATGTTTTCCTAATGCTTAAAAAGTAAAATTAAAAAAAAAAAAAACTTACACTTTTTGAAACAATGGGAGTGAGCAGATTAGTGATTATGAAAAAAAAAGCTTCAGCATAATTTAAATTAGGTTGTAAATTAGTATATACTGATAAAGAATGTGTTTCTATGAGTAAGTCTTTAAAGAACTTAGAATCTTTTCCTGGAAAAAGGCTTTTTTCACTTGTGATATCATTCTCACCAAACAGCATTTCACTTTCAGCTTGCCAATCTCTTCCTGACAAATTATATATACCTACATGATAATATTGTGCTTGAGATTTCTCTTTAGAATGTACAACTCTCTTGTGCAAACTTGTTTTCAAAATGTACAGGACAGAAATAAATCTTTCCTTTGCTCTTTGGAGTAGTTCCAGCAATTCAAAATGTCCTCATTTTGTTGCCCTTAAAAAAAAGAAAATACTAGGAAAAAATATTTCCCTCATCATTTGCTACTTGTGAAGGGATTTTATGAGGGGAGGAAAAATGGATGAGCTTCTGTTATTATCTACTGGTGATTTGATTGAACTCTGTCCTGGAATTTTACAAAAATGATGAAGATGTGGTAGACCCTCTGAAACAACGCCGCAGACACCCACAGGAGAGTTGATGAAATGGCATTCCTTAAAATCTCTCCAAGATGGCGGTCTTCAGGGCCTCCCTGGTGGTGCAGCGGGTTGAGCGCTGCACTGTGAAGCTGTCCGCAGCCTCTGCAGTGGGGTTCAATCCCGGCCGGCCAGGGAGCCACCCACATGGCGCGGCAGACCTCTCCTGTCTCACCCGCTGCTCCCCTCAGCGGTATATTTCAGTAGATCCGCCTGTTCTGTTCCCCACTCTGTCTCTGGTGAATCCTCTCACCCTCCTGCTCCTCTGGCCTGTGCCCCAGCTGTTGTATAAATAAAAAATAAATCTTAAAAAAAAAAGAAAAAGATGTGGCCGTCCTTGACAAGGGAAGGACATGGCGCTACCTTCCAGGGACCCTGGTGTTGTGCGTCATGGTGGGAGCCAGAGCAAAGTGCCCCAGAACCCTGGAGGAGAACCGTGGCTACTTCCACTCTGTTGTGCATATGTTATCCACAAAGCTCCTCTTGCCATTTCTGCCAAAGTTGTTTGAAAATTGCTAAATCTCGAGAAAGAGCTGGTATTTGCATTACGTTCTGTCACCTCTAGTAATACTTCCATTATGCGACTTATTTTGATTACTTTTGTATTCAGGAAAATGAAACTTTTTAATTCTAAATCTTCAATGTTTTCCTGCCTCCTAAAGAAAAGGGACATAGAAGACTCAATTGCACAGCTCAAGTATCTCTCCATCATATGGAGAAAAATGTCCTTTTTGATACTGGAAAACAAGTTTAGAGTCACCAAAATTTCATTACAAGCAGATGTGGATTTTGTTTAAACATTTTTAGTTATTCACTTGTATTTTATTAGCAGATATGAAATGCCTGGCCCCCCCAAAAAAAGGTTTACTTCCATGTTCCACATCTTACCTTTTCCAATATCAAAAATAATATGGGGGCCTCCCTGGAAGCGCAAGGGGTTAAGATGCATCCTATGAAGTTATCCGCAGCCACTCAGCAAGAGTTTGATCCTCAGCCAGGGAGCAACTCACATGGCACAGCAGACCTCTCCTGACTCGACCGCTGCTCCCCTCAGCAGCGTATTTCAGTCAATCCGCCTGTTCTCCCCACTCTGTCTCTGGTGAATCCTCTTCCCTGCCCCGCACCTCTGTTCTGTACCCCAGTTCTTGTATGCATAAATAAATAAATCTTAAAAAATAATAATATGGGATCTCACGATCTTTGTGTAGTTTGTCATAACATAACAATACTCACTCAAAGCATTTACTGCGAAGGAGGAACTCTTTGGCACTCGACATAAGTGGCCATAACAAGCCTGATTAATTTCTCTGCTCTGTATCTTGGGTATTACATAAAAACAAAATCTTTACCAGATGTTAAGTTGGTGAAATTAGGGAGCTTCTCTGCATATACTCAACATTTTAATTAAACCCACACATGTATGA